TTAAGGCTGCTTTATATAAAGGTTTTTCTTCCGAACTCTTGGCCTAAAGACTAAAAACGTTACGGTGATAATAGAAATGGTAATGTTATTATCACGTTATTTCCTTGGAATACAGCTTAGGTTTATTAAATGACACCCGCGCTCATGCACATCCATCAATCTCGGGCTCCGGCGCACATATCACGCAGACGTGATGCGGACTTGGCTATCACTTCAACCCTACACTTGATATCCTAGGGTTAACAAATAAATATAATTAAGGCTGCTTAGCATTAGTAGGCTTTTCTATTGAACTCTTAAGCTAGAAGGGACTGACTGGTAAGAAGTGAAGGGTGTTTCGCTGAAAATACAAGCAACGAATATTTATCCACAGTATTTTTTCAAGAATATGGTGACGACACAAATCATGCGTTATACAATTTACAAGTTCACAACACACGCGTTAAATAAGAAAGCTTCAGAATGCTAATAAAATATTTTAATAAAGAAACCAAAATAACATTTATTATTTGGTGATACAGTGTCAATCTGGGATATCTAGCACTATCTGTGTGAAAATTGGAACTAATATTTATTGCATAATGATTTCACTATTAGCTTATAAATTGTAAGTTATTAATAAAAAATACAAATTATTATCACGTAATTTCTTTGAAGAACAGAATTAATCGCTCCTGACACTTGCATCAATCTTGAGTTCCGAGTGCACATATATTGCGTACGTGACGCGGACCTGGCTATCATTTTAAAGGGTTAACTCTCTCTTGAAGAGTCCACGGGATACTCTCAGTAATGCTCTAAGGTTGAGTTGCACCATCTTACTTTAACAGTACCTAACTATAAACATAACAGGTGTTTTTGTTTGGAGTTTGACAGACTTTTGATGTTTGTTAAAGTTAAAGTTAAAGTAAGATGGTGTAACTTAGCCCAAGCTTCAAAGAAGAGAGCTTGCATTGCATTGATTTCATAAACTCAAAGAAACTTTTGTATTAACTTATTCACACAACGCAAGATACAGCTGAAAAAGGTTTACTTTATAAAAATCTTTATAAAATATTGGGACATCGTAAATATTCACCTGTTTTTTTTTGCCACTTAATGGTTTGGATTAATGGACAGTTAATGGTGTCAAACTGGAGATTGAACATTCAACTCCCAGATGGGACACATAAAGTGGTAAAGAGTTCGTATCGGGTTGTTTTCGACTAAAACTTGAAGTATCCTGAATGTCATAAGAAAAATGATTCGTATGGAAGAAACATATTCATTCAGGATAATTAAAGTTTCAGGTACTTCAGTTACTGACGATTCATAAACAATACTCTTAGGGTGAGTTGCATCATCTTACTTTAACTTTGACAAACGTCAAAAATCTGTCAAACTCCATACAAAAAGCACCGGTTATCGTCATAGTTACCGTTAAAGTTAGCTGGTGCAACTCAGCCTTAGTAATTAATAATAGATACGATATCTAATCTAAGATGTAATTATTTTATTTTAGGTGCTTTAAACTAAAATTGAAAGACATGAGTCTTAACGCGACATTTAAGACTGACTTACATTTAGGTGCTTTGATAAAAAAAAAAATGTTTAGATTGCCTAATGGCCGAGCATCTGTTTCAGTTTGACTGTGATGATTTAGAGTGGCAGCCTAATTTGATTCCTAGCCAACTTAATGCACCTAATACACTTAATACATAATACGAGTACGTAGTATTTAACCACATGCTCCCCGCTGCACAAACTAGATTGAAAGTTGCCTCTTATCATACGATGTTTGCCCTACTCCAGCTGAGCGGATACATAGTTTGTCATAATGTGAGCACTGAGCCACGATACAGAGCGGGCACAAAAGGCCCCCCGCCCGATGCGCAGTTGATAACTAACGTCAAACCGGGAGATCATAGTACGTAGCACTACGTGTATGGGTTACGTAGGCTTATCTTCTAGTAGTATTGTAAAGATACCAGCTTCTTCCCGTGCTCTACCTTATTAATTTTTACGTTTTCACTTTACCAACATTAGAAATATGATAGGTTAGCTATACAAACTTTTCATTCCCAATTTCTTTAATTTTTGAGTATTCTAATAGAGATATTGATATCTATCTCAATGCCAACATTAATTATGCCTGATTAGTTCAGCGGCTTAGGCAATTTTAGACAGATAAATTCTATGATAAATAAATAAATAAAATAAAATAAAAATAAAATAAAATAAAATTCATTTATTTCAGGCCAGGGCCCATAAAATTTCAATAATAATAATAATTGCATTAAATAATTAAAATCATATTAAATCAATAAAAATAATAATAATGGAGACAAATAAATTAAATTAAAAATTAAATTGAAAATTAAATTAAACATTAAAATAATAAATAAAATTACAATCTAAATTTAAAACAAATACCTAAATTTAATGAAGATGATGATCAGAATGTATAATATTAGTATACCATTCCCCATAAAGTACCTGTTGTTAAATGTTCGAGTATTTACGGTTACCCCATAAATAAAAATATTTCGTGCACTGGTCAATTATGTTTACCCTCGGGGTTCAAAGATTACGCAATACAAACATCACGCATCAACATTACTTTATAGTTTCAGTTAATTAAATGTTTGTCACCTGTCCACACGAATTAACACTTTACCTCGGCGATACGCCGATCATCTAATGTCTTTTCATGATTTTCAGGGATGTCTTTTAGTAAGAGCTTTTCGTTTTATTGACAACTAGCGACCGCCCGCGACTTCGTACGCGTGGATCCCGTTTTACCCCCTTAGGGGTAGAGTTTCGTAAAATCCTTTCTTAGCGCATGCCTACGTAATAACATCTACCTACATGCCAAATTTCAGCCCGATCCGTCCCGTGGTTTGGGCTGTGCGTTGATAGATCACTATGTCAGTCAGTCAGTCAGACAGTCACCTTTGAGTTTTATATATATATAGATATTAATGTACTTAAAATTAGTGCCTTAATACCGCTCAAAAAAGAGTATTCAGTGTATAATGTAGAGTTTACAAAACATATTGATTGTACAGATATGTAACATTTTCTGGTTTATGGCTTTTGGTTGTTTTATAAATTATAAAAAACTACTTGAAGTATAACTTACCAGTAGAGGTCTACTAAATGTTTCAAATCTTTAAAGCTCTGAAAAAGATGATCCGTCATCCGTGTACATAGTATGGCATGGAATATTGCTATGGGAACGAGAAAGTCCTTGCTCCTTGACTTTACTATCTTTACACGACTCATTCGTTATTGCACTAAATTATAAATTACCAGACGGGTTTGTGGTGCAAAATAAAATGCAATAGCTATATAGAGTGCTTTTAGCTTTTTAAACCTGGGCACTAGATACCTAGGTAAATTTGACTTAAAATTAGGCACAGGTATTCTTCACATAGAGCAGATTTTCGCGACGCCATTAAATATGATAGGTATCGTATCCACAGATGAGTGCGGCGTGGGTTGTTTAACCTCGGCTGAAAGGTAGAGCCATAAACAATGCATTTATATCGTACTATGCTCGAACGTGTCAACAACATTGTTGCGGTAGTAGGGTCCGCTCCAGAGCGCTATTACCGCAGTAATAGTGGTATTAGTGGTACTCTGACTGACTAATATTTATGTCATGTATAGGTGAGTATAGACTAAAGCATTTACTTGTAACAGAACAACGAGCCGCTCTATGAAATGTTATAAGTGTATCATCTATCGCGAACCAAACGTCGTACCTACATTTTATCTGTATTGTACCATTCGTAAGAATGTTACATTACATAGAAATGCTCGAGAAAATGCTCTATTCTCTCACTTTATTTGATAACTGCTAGATACAAAACTACATAAACAGTTCTATAATTAAAACGGGATCATCCTTTACATAGAGTAATAGAATTTTCCATGTGCCGTAATTGTCTTAAAATTTCTCTTTAAATTCCATCATAATAATAAGTCTATTTACTTTTCAAGCAATGATAAACAGCTGGTTTCGGGGAAGGCTCATGTATTTTTAAAGATTCGCAAGTAACTTCTACCTATACTTAGCTTTTATAATTCCTTTAAAATGAACACCACTTAACGAGTTTCTTTTACTAAGTAGGTTCATCGTTACATAGATGATGGGATGGAGGTGCTATTTGAAAACACCTTATAATATCGTAATAGCAAAAATTTTTTGGTTTACGCCATGTATGACAAAATATTACAGACTAGGCATAGTTTTGGCATAGTTTTTAATCTAACTAATCGATTCTGTGTGAATATTAAATGATAACTACATTTTAAGAAGGTTATATGAAAAAATATGGTTAAATCAAGCAAGAGACATTTAGTATAACTATCGGTGATATCAATCTTAAACTCAAGTCCCCAAGATACAGGATTACCTAGTTTGGGGACTACTAGTAAGCTGTATATTGTAATCTTTGGTAATAAAGGTTTTTATTTATTTTATTTATTTATTTATTTATTTATTAATCATATTTTTTCAAATCGGATCTCAGATTTGTTGAGTCATGGATTTTTTTGATATCAGTAACAAATATGATATCTGCAACAGGGCATCGTAGCTGAGGCTGATTATAATCACGCACTCGTGCACCCTGTGATAGTCTAGAATGAACTATTAAAGCTTTTGGTAGGCCACAGTAAGCATCCAACAGTCATGGACCAAAATCGAATGTTGTCTCAGGGAGAGTGCGCGCGCAACACCCGCCCCACGCCGCACCGGTCCCACCGTCCATTGATGATCTTCTTTATCTCGATAATATTGAAATTACTCATATGCAAAAATCGCCCGTATGCACATTTTTGCATCGTATAATGGTTGAAATGAGGTTTAATTGGTGTATTGGGTAGCGAGCAAAGCCAGCAGGGCATGCTAAGAGCGGCTGAGGGCGCTGGCCGGCGTTTCGCTAGGTTTGGGCGTCGCTTCGTCTCGGCTTTCGGCGGGCGGTCGGTGCGCGGCGGCGCGCGGGCGGCCGTGCGCACGCCGCGCGCCACGCACGCTTGAGCGCGACCCAGTCCGCTCTGACGTTTAGCCGAGCCGCCGGTGTCACCCTGTCGCACGGTTTTCTCCGTGCTCGGCACATTTTCTGCGCACTTTGATGTATCGTGACAAGCGTAGAGCGGTCGGTCGGCGTCGCTAGGAGTCGGTCCCCCGGAGGCGGTGCGAGCTAGGCCCGGGCACGCCGGCAGCAGCTGGTGGTGTTTACACGCCGCGCCTGCAGCGCCACCGCCTCTGCCGCGCTCGCCGCTCCCGCTCCGCGCCGTGTGCGCTCGCTCGCTGCAACATACCAACAACCCCTCATTTACTATTCAACGCTGTGAATTTTTAACTTTGCGAACGACCGACCATAGAGGTATTTAAATGCTTACTAAACCCGAATCTCATCAGAAAGAACAGTTGTAGTGCACATTAGTGTCGCAGATCAGAACATACGCATCGAAAACCAAATATTCATAGACCATTCGAGTGATATCACGACTTCATAAATATGGGTGCTAAAGAGAGCGTGGAAGCTGCTAAATTTTCTTCGCAAAATTGGAACAATTTCGAGGTTCGTAGTACCTTTAAATTAATTTGCACATGGAGTGTTTGTTACCCCTCTCCCTCCTCGTGAATGTCTGTCTTATGGACATCTTACCTTTAAATAAGAAATGAGCTAACGTATTGTGAGATTAAATTAAACTTTATGCACATTAAATTTGTGTCAAGCAATAAGTATTATGCATGTTCACATTTTGTTTGAAATAAATTGTTATTGTCATAAAACTGAGAACTTAAACTATCTGTGTACTCATCGAGTGTATGATTTGGTATTAATTAGTGTAATGAAGAACTATAGTTCTATAGTGGCATTCAGGTGGTAGAGACAGTCGCTATATGACTTATCAAATAGGTATAGCGATATACTATATCCGTTAGTACGATCGGTGCACGGAGATGAGAGTATCCTATTACACTAGTCCGCTTATATCTTATTCATTCATAACGATAGTTACAGGACTGCAGTCCTGTGGACAATTCTGTACCTATCAGACGAGAGAAAATGGTAGAATGTAAGGAGTCAATAACAGGGATAACAGCTGCAACTTTAATCAATAACTCCATTCTGGGTCCTGACTCTACCTCGGAAAGGGACGTTTCGATTTACTTGGGACACATTGGCATTTACAAACACATTATCATGTCCATCATTCTGATTCTTGTAAGAGAAAAATCTTAATCGATCGCATAGGTCATAGACTGTTAATGAAAACCCACGGACACACTAGACAATTACGTTATCACCTTGGATGCTAGGAGCTTTATACTCGTATTAAGTGATCGTGATACTGGTTGATATTATATTCGATGCGGCGTGAAGTGTGTGGGTATACCAGTATGCGCGAACCTACGTAGGTCGAATTAGTTCAGTTTGAGCAATCCGTACCTGCAAAGGTAATAAATCATGCTTGATGGTTCAAGGTGCAATGGCAATAAAACGGTCACTGTCCTGAAAAGGTGGGATGCTTATTAGTTCCCCTGACCAATACATGTCACGCGTCAGTTAACTCGTACGGCTTCTAAACCTTATCAAAATATTGAATAGGTTCAAATCGATACGCCTTCTAGGTTCCGCTGTTACTTTTCCGTAATTGATTTTTTTTAAATACTGAAGGGTCAAGAGGAATACGACCATAGTATAATCTATAAATGGGTAAAGATTAAAGAAGTCAAAACCTATTAAAATTGTTGTAGATCTTCAAAAGAACTTATACAGAATCAAGCTATTACTAATACAGTTATAGGTAGCCACCTAGTGAATTATCTAAGAAATCTCGATTCTACATCTATAAATGGTTAAAGATCGTTTGACCTAAATCCCGTTGGCTGTTGCATAGTTTCATAGAAATACTTGGAAAATACCTGCACTTTTCCAATAAATGCTCATTCCTTTAGGATAGAGCGAAGATTGTAATTAAAATTAGATTGTGAAATGTCTTTCGTAGAATTTTAATGACTTGAAAGTTTTATTTTACTTGAAATACAATGCGTAATCTAAAGGCATGACAGTATTAAGATGCTATGAGAATGATAATTAAGTACAAGCATCGGGCATGTTTACTAGTTTTATAAAGATAGCTCGATGATGCCATTTGCATTCGCATTTAGCATTATTTTATAGTTGGCTCTTCTAAGGTGTGCCGGCAGGCGAGACCTGTGAGTCATCAATATAAATCACAATTGTATATATTTTATTCGAGCACAACCTTCCTTCAGTAGACTTTTAGATAGATTTACACCGTTGTGCCTTAAAAGTTTTGTAAATTAGCTAAAAGGTGTACATTTAAGTGTAGTGTCAGGTTTGATGACCTCATTTAGCGCAAACTTTGCGCAAAAGTGTCCTTAATGTAGATGCATGGCAGAACTGCTTAACAAAAACTAAACTAAAATTATTTTACTTACAAATTTAACCATCACTGAAACGCTGTAATTGCACATTGTTATAATAATTGTATCACCTTAATTTGTAAAGTGATGTTTAAATTTTAACTGCATGCTGTTAAATAAAATCACTAAATAATCATTACACTAAAAATTTATACATGTTTACATTAGTTAAGTTTTATTTTAATTAACATTACGACTTTTATTAATGTCACGAGATATTTTTAGAAGATATTTCAGTTACAATTAGTTTTCAATTGTTCAAATATTGCTTAGATTACTAACAAACAACTACAGGCTTAAAATAGTGTACAATAGGTCAAGGTTTTACAATTTGCCTGATATTTAGTGACCGTTTGTCAACAAACAATACCTCATATTTGCAGATTGCGTGTGTTCATTGAAAACAAAACACGAGCTGTGTAACTTTACAATTAGAGATGACGAAATCTGTTTAGTACTAAAAATATTATTTTGGTACTAATGTAACCAGCTTATACGGAAGTAGGTACATAATCTAGTACATATTATTTTATTTGTTTGTACTCCGTAAAAGCCTGTTTTTATAAGGTTCTGAATTAAAGCTCTATCTAAAATAAATACCACGTATTACAAATTACATAAGCTTTGTAATTTTGGTACCTAGATGATTGTGAATTTGTGATAGCCTACAATGGGGTTAACTAAGAAAAATAGTGGTTAAAATTGCTTTTTATTAAAAATGTTTGTTAATCATTTCCAAGTTCTATATTTGTCTGTGTATTGCAGCATGGCGTTGTGAAACATCCATATAGGCACGGAACCCAGCGCTCGCAGAGTCTCAACCGCGGGCACTCTTTCTCGCGCACCGATGGCACCTGGTGACATCACGGGACCGCGGGTCAGTACCCTGGATAACCTTAAAACTACATCTTAATATAACCGTAATATAGTCCAATTTTGCACAGGCGACAGCACAGAAGCAATTTACTGTGGTATCTATCTTAGTTGTTGTAATAGCGGCTATAATGCAAAGTAAACTCAGTCTGATGTGCTACCTACTATTAATACTTGAAGAACTTATGGAAACTTCTGAAAAGCCTGCCACTAACAGGGTTTCCTACTGAACATTAAGAATGGTGTCTTCAAGAAAGGAAAGTTAAGTCATACTTTTAGAGTAACGTAGGCAGCACGGTTTATTCCCGTTGTCCCCACCAGACTTGTACCCACCAATTTAATTCGCTTCAATATTTATTATCAAACAAACATCAATTTACATGATTGCTACAGAACAACTCTTTGATCATTCGGAGAGATTGGTGCATCTACTATTAGACCACCAAAGAACAACGTGGTATAATCAGATTAGACGGCATCTCATGGAATTTTAACATCAGATTTAGATTTAGCTTTATTAACTAACATTTTGTGTAGGTAGAAGTTAATACTGCTTAACATTTACCAAAATATTAAACTGTCTTGGCACACCCACACCATTAGCTTAGCTTTACCTATGAAATTAAACTAAGGAATTTATGTCCTAATACTACGATGAAATGACTTAACTTTAATAATAATGTGAATTTATTTATAAAGGTCATTAGACAAGTTACAAAAACTGTGAAACATCCCACGATCTTGTTATAAAATAAAATAAATATGGTGCATGATTCAAAACGTAGGTAAAAACATAATTTCAGTTTCAAGCATAGGTATCTTCTTTTTCTTCTTTTCGTGTCGACAACAAACCTACACAGTGTCAGCCCGAAACTCCAAAGCATAGGTATTAGAGGCAACCATTCAATGGTTGAACTTCAATATTTAGACATAACACTCATCCCTGTTTTCACCATCAATCCATAATTTTTAAGTGACCCATAACAGGAAATTTGTTTTCTTAGGGGTCACTTAAAAATTAGGGATTGATGGTGAAAACGGGCATCAGTCTACTCGTATTTTCCAATTGAGTTTTGAGTATTTAGGTCCTAAGATTTCAGAATAATTTTGATTGCGAAACTAACACAGCTAATAATTACAGGCAGCATAGTGCAGTGCGCCGAGTGCGGCACGCGCACGATGGGAAACAAGCTCTCGTCGTGCTCCTGCGCGCCCATACTCCGCAAGGCGTACCGCTATGAGGACAGCCCGTGGCAGAACTCGCGCCGCCGCGACGGACATCTGTTGAGGTACTCCAGCCAAACGTGTAGCAGATGGGCAATAGGTTTTTGTAAGGTTCAAGCACGCGCATGATGGGAAGCAAGACAAGCTCTCGTCGTGCTCCTGCGCGCCCATACTCCGCAAGGCGTACCGCTATGAGGACAGCCCGTGGCAGAACTCGCGCCGCCGCGACGGACATCTGTTGAGGTACTCCAGCCAAACGTGTAGCAGATGGGCAATAGGCTTTTGTAAGGTTCAAGCACGCGCATGATGGGAAGCAAGACAAGCTCTCGTCGTGCTCCTGCGCGCCCATACTCCGCAAGGCGTACCGCTATGAGGACAGCCCGTGGCAGAACTCGCGCCGCCGCGACGGACATCTGTTGAGGTATTCCAGCCAAACTTATAGCTGATGGGGAATAGACTTTTATAAGGTTTAAGCACGCACATGATGGGCAACAAGCTCTCGTCGTGCTCTTGCGCGCCCATACTCCGCTATGAGGACAGCCCGTGGCAGAACTCGCGCAGCCGCGACGGATATTTGTTGAGGTACTCCACTACTCCAGCCAAACGTGTAGCAGATGGGTAATAATCTCTTACCCTGTTAAGAATTTTGGAGTTCATGGTCATCAGGGCGTATCGACATGAGGACAGCCCGTGGTTGAAATTGCGCCGCTGGGACGGATGTCTGTTCAGGTAACCTAGCCAACATATAACTGATAGACAAGAAGCTTGTTTCCTCCGCTATGAGGATCAGTGTACCTACCATGAGTTTACGATAAGTGTGCTCGCTAGCGAGTACGTCAAAAATCTCTATGAAGATTTTGTTTCTTGAAAGTAGCCGCTAGGGGCGCTGAAAAATATGTCATACAAGTAATGTCATTTTTTTACGCAGTCGCTAGCGAGCACACCTAACGTAAACTCATGGTAAGCACACAGGTGTTAGGAAATAATGTTACCGAATTTTTCTGTCTGTCCCAATGATGATACATCAAAACTTCATTACATCTCATGGCCACAACTGTAAGAGCTGTGGTGTAAGATAGTAATCAAAACTAGAAAATACTGCAGTTCATGGTGTCGTGCTCTCTGATAACTGCAGTCTACGCTTGGACGTTATGTGTAACGTTAAACGTAGATCTTCCGGACCTTAGTTTTATGATAGAGCTGCCTGTTTTTTTTTATAAAACAATAAATTTTAATACTCGATATCGATTAGAAATTACATATTCATATTGGCTTTAGAACGGAATATAAATCGAAGTATCCTATCCATACCATAGCCGCTACCAACCGTGCGATGTGGAAGTCATTGGGGGAGGCCTATGTTCAGCAGTGGACGTCCTGTGGCTGAAATGATGATGATGATGATGATCCTATCCATTTCTGAGCTGAAAAGCATAGGCAAAATAATCAATCTACCTACCTACCATACACCCTACGGTAAAAAGGTGATTTTCTCCATTTATTAAATATCAGTAGCACATTTTGATTAGATTACCCTAAAACTCTGAGCAGACATCGGTATCAACACATGATCAGACAAAAATGTTCGGATTCATCCAGTGACCCATTTTAGGTACGAAAATAGCTTATGGAGCGAATAAAGTTTTAGAACGTTGTTGGTATACGGTATAATACTCGCAGCATACACGAAACACGACACAAGATTTAATTAATTTTGGTAATTGCAAAATCTACCCTCTCTGTGCTGCAGTTCGTGTTCAATGATAAAAAATGTATGGAATTTCTCATGCGGATTGCACGCCATTCGTGTCGGTAGGACGCCGGAGGACCATTTCGCTCCCAACACACCCACATAGTCACGCGAACAAGAAAATAGCGCAAAAATGTTATTTCGTGAGATTGAATAATATGTTACCAACGAGTTAGGAAACGAAATTAACTTGAACTATAATTTATTGGCTGACCTAATTAATGTAGGTAGGCACTTAGTCGTCTGCGATGAGTGCCAGAAATGAAGTTTTGCGGTACTGAGACGTGGACTTTGATGAATTTAATAATAAAGTGCCAGGTTTTATGAACGGTTTTGCACTTTCAGCACTAATGACAGTGCAACATCGTAGATAGGTTTAATGGAAATTCTTCTTCACCGTATTTAGTTGTTTGGGATTATGATTCTTTCTTATCTTGTACTGTGTCATGTGCAGGTTAATAACTATTTTACATTAGTGGAATTTTGTCACTTAGAAAAAAGGTATACTTGTGGAATTTTGTCACTTAGAAAAAAAGGGTACTTGTTAATAAGATTAATGTTTTCGTTTATAAAGATTTAATCATAAAATGTATTTTTTTTAACAATTAGGTTTTTAAAAGCTCTTTTTTCTCGTAAGCTATTTGACTTGTAATTTTTTACTTTTCGAACAACAACAACAGGGTGGGCTGAGAAGCAGCCGCAGGAACTCGGTTACTTTCACCACATCAGTCCGATCATAGAACGATACACGCTTAGGTTTGTACATGAGGTCCTAGGCCTGGTTCTGATACAGCAATAAATATGCTGTTAATATGGTTGCTGGGCACTTCTCGTACATTTGCATCAAACCGTAAGCGCACGGTTACTGCCTAGTGCCTCGTCATTGAGAACCACTCAGAAACAGCGTAGTCAATTTGATAAAAAGTATAACATTTTTCTGGACCTTAACTCATGGTAACTTTAATTCCAGACTATGGGCGGAAGTGTTCCACGTGTCAGCCAGCGGCGCCGGCACCGTGAAGTGGCAGCAAGTGTCCGAGGACCTGGTGCCCGTCAACATCACCTGCGTCCAGGACTCCCCGGAGTGCGTGTTCCACATCACCGCCTACAACTCGCAGGTCGACAAGATCCTGGACGTGCGACTATTGCAACCTGGTAAGATCATTTTAGAATGTTTTACGCTTTCATGGTCACTAATAATAAAATAATAAATTGACGGGATTGCTACCATGCATATCCATATCCAATGCGTAACCAAATAGAGACAGGTGAGCACGTACCTACGTCAAAAATTTCTACAAAGTGAGCAGGCGGAAGAGTCCCCAATAGTACCTTATTTACGAGCCTCCGATATTTCGGCACTGTTGCAAGCTCCATGATCACGAAGTAACTGGTTACATGTCAAAATCAATTTTTTTTTATTTTTTTTTTAATATTCTCAAAANCCAGCAGTGGACGTCATTTGGCTGAAAAGAAGATGAAGAAGAAGAAGATTATTTTAGAATGTTTGAAGCCTTTATGGTCATTAATAATCATCAGGTCATTTAGTTAGTATCCACTGCAAGAGCACGACTCTCTAATTTACCAGAGGCAAATGGAAGATTTGGCCTACACTCCCAACGCTGGCCAGACGGGTTGGGGAGGCAATAATAATAAATAATTATTGACGGAATTGCTACCATGCATGCATATCCAATGCGTAACCAATTAGAGACAGGTGAGCACGTGACCGAGCGATGCGCCTACGCCAAAATTTCTACAAAGTGAGCAGGCGGAAGAGTCCCCAATAGTACCTTATTTACGAGCCTCCGATATTTCGGCACTGTTGCAAGCTCCATGATCACGAAGTAACTGGTTACATGTCAAAATCAATTTTTTTTATTATTTTTTTAATACTCTCAAAACTAAGGCCCGACGGTATGTCATTAATTCCTGGTCTAAGGGTCGGGCATTGGTCTGGGATGCGACTTGCTGCGACACTCTTGCCCCCTCCCATGTGCCTTCCACGTCGAGGGCTGCAGACGCTTCGGCTGCTTCAGCGGAATCTTTGAAAAAAGCAAATATTCCGCTTTAGACAGCTGCTACCGTTTTGTACCTTTCGGCGTGGAAACGCTGGGACCTTGGGGCCCGGAGGCCAAAAAGCTTTTCACTGAGCTTTCCTCCCGCATCATCGAGGTCACCGGTGACCAGAAGGCCGGGTTCTACCTTGGCCAGCGTTTAAGCCTAGCGATCCAACGCGGAAACGCTGCCAGCCTTTTGGGCACCGCTAACCTCACCGACAGATCTGGGGATAGGGATACTTTTTTAATTTAACTTTTATTTTCCCTTTTTTGTAAATATTGTATTTTTTTGTGTATAGTATAGTTTTTAAGTTTGTAAATTACCTGTACAAATTTAGTTTGTTATTGTTTAATAAAATTGGCAGTTTTGAGAGTATTAAAATTCAAATTAAAATGCAATAATTTATGGCATGGTAGCAATCCCGTCAATAATAAATTATTCCATTTTAGAATGGACTTTAATTCATTCGTTTCAGCAGATTTTAAAGACCTAGTCCTAACTTTTATTATAATCAAAGTTGTAATGGTTAAAAAAACTGATAACATTCTACCTGGCTATCGATGCCGTAGAATGCTAGTCGATAATTTGATTATTTGGTAATTTTGTAATAATTAATTGAACTGTTGTGATAAACCCACCCACAGGAGTGGGTGGGTTTTAGGAAACACAAAAACCTATTATTTAAGCTGGAGGAGTAAACGGGAATATTAGTCGTTTAATCTGTTAATCCTTATAAAACACTGGTTTGCATGACATCAATCATCATAGAACTACCTAAAAGTTAGTGTAATTCCGAAAATGTATCGTAGATACAAGTATTTTACTGCCCTTTTAAAATGTTTCGGTTCCTAGATCTAGTGTAGGCGAAAATGTTAATTCCTTTTACCAGAAATGCTAAATCTCCGAAATAAGTACATGAAATATTAAAATTGTTTAGTTTAATGTTTAAAATATGCCTGTTCTGCAGATCATAAAGTCGCAATGCAGGCGCATGAATCTCAGAATTTACAATACGTACATTCAAAATGAAGAATCTTTAAGATTAATCTATTATTCTGAGCACTATATTGTACAGATATAAAATAGGATAAGATCAGATTTAATATAGCTAGTGGAGTGATGAGGGACCTACATTTACGAGGGCAATTTGAAAGATACTCCGGCAGCCGCTGTAACCCAGTTTTAAATTTACACTGGATAATAACTCGAGTAATCATTCGGAATTTCCAGAATAAAAGTACTTGTTAACTGCGGCATGAGGGAGATACAATGTAGTCTGCATTTGAATCGCGGTACTGCCCTGGATTTTCATATTTGGTAACATGAATGTGACTGGTTTAGGTTCTCAGTACTGGGTAGTTGACATCTCCAATCAAATTAATATTTTTGTGAGCTATTGCAATGCGATTGTACTGGAGGTATGTAGCTGTTATAGCAATATTAGTGTAACCTATGATGGTAGTTGTTTGTCAACTTAATTGACTTATAAAGCAAAGCATAATAATCAATATTACGGCTAATTGGAAAATAACAAGGTTAACAATACAATACAGTTAAAGCGTTTTAGGCAATAGTATCAAATTATCCATTTAATTAGGTATTGATTATATTGGTATTGATTGTAGTGATTTGATTGAGTTTTATCGAGTTTTTAAACTATCTTCTTGTACACACATTGTTACTTCAAGTTGAAAAGAAGATCAACAGCACGAAGAAAATGAACATTAAAGCAAGCACAGCAAAGTATACGAATAGTTTTAGTTGCCAGAGAACTTTTACGAGGTGTAAATAAAGTATGAGCTGGTCGAATCGAAGTGTTGTTTGCAATAGCGTCTCTACCAATCAAACAAAACCTAAAATCTTGCGACCAGCAATAATTGACTTGCGTAGATAAAAAACTTTTTGCCATGAGAAATAAAGCTAGTTAAACACAACACACATTACTACCCAAGATGTTTATTAGTAATAATATTACATAGGATAAGCAATATTGTCTACTTCATAAAATTTTCGGATCTCAAACATTATCTTATTATGGACTTTTATAAAAATTACTTGTTCCTTGATTTTACACTGACTAAAGTAAAGGCTTAGATTGGCATAGGAGACACTGCTACAATTAATTCAACCTTTTAGGCACCCGGATCGGACAAGCCTCAGAATGCTTCGTGTATTGGAAGGACCCCATGACCAACGACACGTGGGGCCTCAACTTCACGTCGCCCATCGACGCCAAGCAATTCAGGGAGTGCTGCGTAAGTTGTCCAGTTACATCATTGATACATAAACAAAGTTAAAACAAATTAATCATCAGAGTGTAAAAATGCATCACGAAGTCTAATCCCCGGTTTCTTTTCATATTAAGTTCATACTTTAGTAGAAAATGAGTACGCTTAAGCTCAAAAATTCAATAAAAGAATCGGGCTTACTGCGTTATGATTTTACAGTTGTTTATTAGAGAGAAAATCTTTAAAAATATGAATTTGCGTAACTGAAGCGCAAAACCACTATGCACTGTACCTACCTAGAAGAAAATCGATTTTGTCATAAACTACCTATTCAATTTTAACCTGTCCAACCAACCAATACCTGAAACTCGGCTTCGTAATTTGTGTTTTACTCAAATGATTTAGATCACAAAAGTATAATATTCATTTTTAACTCGTTTCATTTCTTTAGTTTACCTATTGGCTTTTACCTACACGTATCAGTAATCTGAATTAATTCAGTTGTCTTCATTACTCGACGTCTCATCATTAATCAACAAAATTTTCTCATTTCGTAGTCACCATCGTTTAAATTCTCCCGAAAGGCATCTTCTAGCTACAGCCTAAAGCTGGAACCTCCCGGCAACAAGCAGAAGTTCAAAGCAAAGAGGAAACCACTCTCCACACCAGCTAGTCCGAATCGATCCAGGTATGAAAAATCCTAATTTTTATTCATTTAAGAATAATATACATAAACTAGAAATACTACGGAGAATATTTTTCATATAAAATGTAACTTTTTGACTATTTTAACTGCGGCTTGATGTAAAAGATTAAAAAGTGCCTTACTTATAAAAAAAACACTTGAGTTTTCATGAGTAAATGGATGAATGGTATAAGTAGGTACTTATCGTAGTAATTTAAAGTATTTAAAATAAAGGTTTACAAATGACTAAAAACCCTTGCAATGAGGTCAACTGTTTTCAATTTCATCAAGTCACAGCATCTTATATTCTGTTTTAGCTTGACGTATGGACGCGAACCGCAATGCACCTGCATGACTCAAGAACAGTATGCCAGACTCCGGGCTCAAGATCCTCGCTATCGTAAGTGTCTTGGTTACTTACTTGTCTTGTATACGTTCTCTGTCCTTAACTAAGTGATGTTCATCGTAATAAATGTTTCTTTCTTTCTTTCTTACTTAAAGAGTTGAAGATCGTAGGTACACGTTAGTACCTTATTTCAGGAATACACTTTTCAAGCAACCTACCTGCTAATTATAAAGTAGATATTTTTGTAGACATGCTAAACGCCCGTTTTATACTTTGGCGACGTAATGTGCAGTGAATAGAAAAACACGTCCCATTAGCACCTTTAAAATTACATTTATTTATGGAACAGGTGTATGTTTTATCAGAATTTTTATTGTAACGTCAAAAGTACAGTAAGTATTTAATGTAGCAGGATTTCGTGCAACAACAACATTTACTTAAACACCATGTTGATGACAAGGTGGATCAATCTGATAAAGGTAGCAGGAAGGCGTTGGATTTGGATATAGGCCGCTACCAACCAAATATCTTTGGTTTAGTTCAGCAGTGGACGTGCTGTGCCTGAAATGATGATGATTATTGGTTGTTTCTAAATTTAAATCAATTCAAATCAAAAGTTTTTGCGCTACTTCTACTCAGCACTGGCCCATTTATTGTCCCGAAGCAGTGGTAAGGGTTAATATTGGGACGTGTAAAAGTGCTTTTGAAAAGCCTACTTACAAAAATAAATGAGATTTACGAGTTTTTAAGATCTATTTCCATGAAGTCTTATAAGAATCTACCTTAAATTAAACATGTTTTTTTTACGTAAATGTCGATAAAAGTGTTCAAAACTATTTTCAACCTAACAGGTTCCTCAACTCTTCCTCGCACAACGGCCCGCGCCCTGGAGGCCGAGGCCGGCTCTGCTGGAGGGACGGCCAATCGCGCCGACAAGGTGGCTGCGGCTACGTCATCCACCTCGCTCTACGACAATGTGGCCAACGCTCAGCCATCACACCAGGCCCCGCCTAAACGTAAGTATATGGATAGAGTTGTGACCAATGTTTGAGACCAACGTTGGTGTATTTGCAGATACTGTCAACAGTTCAAAAGCAACTGCAGCAACTTTACATTCGTTATTTTATGGAAAATTCGCTAATGCGAAACCAAAATACTAAGGTCCCATCTTAACGTCATTTTGAAGTTAAGTACATATTAAAGCAGCTGTTACGTCAACCACAAAGATAGATCACAGAAACTAAAGGGAGATGTGATAAGGGGGCGGGGCCGGTGTCGCAGCAATATTCCCAAAAACAAAACACATTGCTGCAGACGTCATAATGTAAACAGTTTACATTGCTTGCGAAGTACTAAAGATTATTCGAACGTTGAGTAGTGATACCGCAATCGATAATGAGCACATATTTTGATTACTTTGTATGTGTCAATTTCTAATGCGACACCGAGTTTCGAACTCAGCGCATTAGTTGGCATCTCTCTATATCTCTATGCAAATAAATCTCCAGTAAAAGCGATTTGTCGTAGCGATTAGTCGTGCGATACCGTCGTAGCTATGTTTTGTTTTAAAGTCAATGACGTCTAGCACTCGAATACCCACCTACCTACCTACTTGAGGACAATGCTGCAACAAACACGGCATGACGCGAATAAGATTTATTGTTCTGTTAAATATTATCTTTATCTATTGTTTCAGCTGCAGCTCGCCAGTCCGAGCAGCAGCCTCCGGCGCGCCCGGCCAAGTCGCAGGAGACGTCTACCATGACTACAAACACTTCCACTGCGCCGAAGACCGTCACCGCTTCGGTTGGCACCCACAGCGGCAGTACTGTAAGTTTTCTATAATTATTTGAGAAATTCTATATGTATAGAATATCTGAGTGGTAAGCTGTTGAGACAAATAAAATAAAATAAAAATAAAATATAAATAAAATGACTGGTACCCTGTCAGTACCATTATATGAAATGTTACTTCGGAATTTCGTCTAAGGTAGGTATTTAGTGAATAAGTACAAGTCGTTACTAAAACCCTGTTTATATTACGAAATATCATTGATAACTACTGACATATCTTTAGCGAAAGAAAAAATGGTTATTAACTAAAACCTTACATTCTCGGAGGAAATACAGGAGAGTGCGGGGGAGCATAATGTAGCCCTAACTATTAGTCTTATACTCGTTACAATGGCAGCTAAAAAAGTTATATTGGTCCCAAGCGTGACTCCAACCCACTTGATTAGTTTACTGAAGATTCAGGTTAGGCGGCCAACAAGGTATTGTAATCAAGAAGTCCACTAACCAGTCCATCGTTATTCAATTCCAGACTACAGAAGAGACTCAGATTGCAGCTGGTGCCAATACAACTCAACACGGGCAAGATCTGAAGTCGGAGGGAGTGCAAGCGGGAGGCACTCTGACCTCCTCGAAGTCCTCGGCTACTTCCACACGCTCGGGCAAAGAACATCTGCAGCACATGCCAAAGAGCGTTGATTATGGCGATGGAAATGAATCGGTAAGCAGTTCTAAATCCTACGAGTACTAATAATTTATAAATGCGAAAGTTTGGATGTCTGGATCTTTGTTACTCTTTCAAGCAAAAACTACTGAACGGATTTTAATTAAACTTTACAGTATTATTATTATAACCCAGAATAACATTATGAGCTATATTTATGACGATCTGTGACAAACGAAATTTCACGCGGGTGAAGCCGCGGGCTAAAGCTAGTTAGGTATAAATAATGCGGGATAAAACCCGGTCAATTAGCTTGCCGAAATGGGAATTGTCGACTGTCTATTACCATTAGATTCGATTGGATAGGCTTTCCCTTAGGTACTTGAAAGTATGTACCAATTTACATTAAAGTCCTTGTTATGACTTTGTTTGCATTACAATCTTTAGTTCTCGAAAATTTAAAAGCTCTCCAGAATTCAGGATTTTTAAAATCACAACGGAAAAGTTCTATATATCACCTCATGGAAAGTGATGATCAGACCGAAAGCACAAAACGAGCTTCACTCAAAATCCTCTACTACAGAGGAACTGGATAAAATACTAGGTAAAACAAGCTTTACAATATTTACATTGTACAATAATACTAACATTTATTGCAGGGTCGAGAGTCAGAGCGGCACTCGGCTCACCACCACAACGTGATCAACAACAACACTTCGGGCTCGCGTCGCACAAAATCTAAGAGCACCGAAGACATGAATATGGGTAAGTTCAATAAAATACATTATATACATTTACTTTGGACCGACGACCTGATAATGGTAGCAGGAAGGCGCTGAATGCAGGCCGCTACCAACCGTGCGATGTGGAAGTCATTGGGGGAGGCCTATGTTCAGCAAAGGACGCCCTGTGGCTGAAATAATGATGACTATGATGATCCAGTTACTTTGTGAATAGTTAAGTAAGTCGCCGGTGAGTGACCTACTCGTCAAATCGACTACCCCTTTTTTGGGAGCACACTCACCTGAAACAGTAGAAAGTCTTGTCTAGATTAGTTTACTACTCGTAAGTGGCATTATAATTGCATCGTTCATGGTAAAACCATAAACAACAAACAACGCGTGATACCTATTTCTTTCTATATCTTACTCGCTACATTTTCTGAGTTGTAACTAAGCTTTTATGTCATGTGCAGCAATGCAAATAAATTCGCACCGATTCGGGTTTCAGTAAAGTAGATAAGGATGGCGGTCAAAGACTTTGCAAATATTAAAGCAGAGACATCCATCCCTCTGGCTCGCATCGCACCTAAATAAGGTTTGAAAATGACAGCGATAATCTCAGGCTCTCAATTCTTAACCATACCATTATCCAGCAACATAGCTAATACTTTTCTTCTAACCGATCGTCTTTGCATTTCAGATTCCAGCACCCTCAAACGCATGCTGAAGCCAATGCCCTCTACCGAGAGCCCCGTGACCTCTCCAGAGATGGGGCGCCGTCGGTATGGGGGCGCGGGGCCCTGCCCCCCATCGTGTGGGGCGCATGGTCACCGCCACCCGCAGCACCCGCATCACGGGCACTACTCGCACATTGTCAATAACAACAGTCGGCAGAGTTCGCAGCGGTATGTAGAAAACATTAATTTGACACTAATTTCAACATTCCACCAGCTCGCACTAAGCGTTTCGATGACTCTTTTATAATGCGAACAGCTAGGGAATGCAATTCGCTGCCTGCTGCTGTCTTTCCTGAACACTATAATCCGAGCCTTTTCAAGGCGAGAGTGAATAGGCACTTACATGGCAGATATGGATCATCCTAGACTGCATATCGCTTAACATTAGGTGCGATTGCGGTCAAATACCTGCCTTGTTTTGCATAAAAAAAAACATTAATTTGGCCACTTTGTTAATAAGTCAGCGTCAAACGTACCTATGGCGGCGTCAACGTCTGAAGGAGACGATAACAGTACATTTTTATAGTAAGCATTGTAACGCAGTCTACGGCGTTTAATAGGAGACCAAAGCATTATACCTACTAACCTCTGCTAGGTTTTATTCTGTTACATAAAGTAAAAAATAAAATATCGTTATCAAATGGGTACGTGTAGGTAAGATTTACAAAAACAATTGCATACCTAAATCAGAAAGATTTTTCATAACTTCAGTGAAATGTCTTAAACGAAACCGTGACGAAAATATCTTACCTTTCAAGTTTTTCGGCAAAAGTCTACGCTTCCAATATACAAAAATGCATCAACTTGATTTGCTTACTCAAAACTATACTAATTCAAAATAGTTACTTGCAAAAATTTGTATTTTAAAGAAGGGATACGAGGATAAGATAGTAAAGCTTAAGTAAGGTAATAATTTAGACCTTCTTTGGTTGAGCACTATAGCTGGAACGTAACTGATGATATGCCGTAACTGACACTAACCAACTATTATATTGTTTTCATTCATAAGGGTTGTTAGACCCCAAAAAAATTTAGCAATCCCTGGTATGTACTATGCAATTTAAATATATGAAATCCGTATCAAATTGATTTGGATTCATTGACAATAATATACTCATATTTTACATTTGATGTAAGTTACTCGTTACATCGTAGGCGTTGGTGTTACCAGTTATTAATTTACGTTCATCGAATTCCCGTCAAGATGTAACTTTACTGGCTCTTCAATTGAAGGGTTATAAAATTTTAACCTTGTTTTTGGATATTCTAAACTGTGGTTGCCCGTACGTGGCCTCCATTTTAGAATCTTGCATCCATCGGCCATTGCAAGCCAGTCGTCCATTGGGGGAGACCTATCTTCGCCAGTTGACGTTCTTTAACTGAAATGATGATATTAATTAATACCTACTCGTTCCCTTAGCCGTGGAGTGGGGGTCGGCGCAGCCCCAAGTGGGTACCCAGGCCGAGGGCTATACCTAGAGTTGGGCGGCGGCGAGCGCGACATGTCCCCGCCGTCTGACAACGTGATGTTCGACAACCAGTGCTACGCCACCACGCCGTCGTCATCCAACGGGAATTCGGATCAAGAGCCTTGCCAGCGCCGCGACCCGAGGCAGCATCATCATGGGGTCCGTATCTATTCTGTTTATTTAAAAGTAGTTTTAGTATAGTTCTTGCAACTCACGAAGGCGAGTGAGCTTTACTTATGTGTGTACGTGTATACGCACATAACGATATTGTAATTTTGTAATGTCTATCAAAACTTTTGAAAAACGAACAGTAGCGAGCCACCACATATGTAAAGCTCACTCGCCTTCGTGAATTGCAACAACTATTCCAGCTGAAGTACAGTCAATCAGTCTCTGGCTGTCAGTGTAAGCTCAAATTATAATTTACGAATTGGTAGCGGACTAGCGGCCTGCATCCAGCGCCTTCCTGCTACCTTTATCAGGTTGTCGGTCCACCTTGTGGGTGGACGTCCCACGCTGCGTTTTCCGGTACGCGGTCTCCATTCCAGAACCTTGCTACCCCATCGGCCGTCAGTTCTGCGTACTATGTGCCCTGCCTATTGCCACTTCAGCTTGCTAATCTGTCGGGCTATGTCAGCGACTTTAGTTCGTAGGTACATAATGTAACTCATTAATAGACGTCGCGTTAAGATCCGTGTCTTACTATTTTAGTTTTACCCAGATTGACTGTCCTTTAGGCTTACATTTTAGGTAAGACTCTCTCGATCCTGGGTTTGATTCCCTGTTAAGAGGCTGAAATTTTAAAATTTATTGGTTTCTAGAAATCGTTCCTATTTTGGTTATGAAATTAAAGGTTTAATTCCAAATTGTTTGTTTGGTGGCAGATGGCTAATACTGAAGGTTTGAAGTCTTAATAAAAGGAAAAATTAGTGGTCAATGAATAGAAATCACACTACTCGAATATCTTGGATAGGTGGTAGGTAGGTACTACAATGAATTGGAAAATGATATGTTTTTAGCTTCGGCGATGGTGATGGCGTTGGTTTGGCTGAAGCTTTACGTCATTCCAAGATAAAATCAATCACGATGATAAGTAGCAAGATTTTTGCAGGAAATGAAATTTAAGCATCAAATACATTATTTTGTTGGTCGTACTATCTTGATGGTCGTCTTCATCTGCACCATTCATGTCACTGGTCTCTATTCTCTAACAGCCGCGTTCTTGGTATACAGGGTGGGTGGGTAACTCTGTATTGGTGCGTGAACAAACAAAAAAGGATTGATTGTACTGTGGTGCTATCCAAAGTGGCCCTAGTGCCTCAACACAATAAAATCTCATACGTGGTGGGTTCTCTGGAGTTCTATATTAAAAAATGTTTGCTAAATAAATATCAAAAAGAACAAGAAGAAAGTACATTTCTACCTACCCTACTTATTGCAAATCAATAAATATTACGAGATGGGTTTGTTTGTTCCACTTGTCAGATGTAAGAACCGCAGTAAACTGCATAACTACATACTAGGTATACAAAGAAGCATGTAGAATTAAAGGTATTTACCTCGAGTCGGGAAACTGATATATCCCACGCACAATAACACAGATGTTGTCGTGGTTGCGGTTAGATGGCCCCGAGAGAAGTCTAGATTGATTTAGAATTGTGCAGTTCTTCAGCGCTCTTGGCAGTGGATATTGTTTCATTACAGGCCCCAGGACTTTATAATTGGAGCGTCAAAACTTATTTTGTGTAAGAAACTAATACAGTTTGTGAGTGATTGTTCTTTATAGAAATTGCGTAAGGGAGACAAATAAATGTCTAAAGGTACGGTACAGGTTGTAATAATAGCCTGTGCATGAAGATAACGTAACAATCAATTTCATTTGAGATCATTTCGCTTTACTCATCTTCAAGAGTAAACAGTTTGCGAATTTGAGAATTTAGGTCCTTCGTACCTTCCTGCGCTGAATTCACTACTTCCCCTTTCATTTTACCTGAATTTATTTACTAATCATAAGTGATTTGTCGCCAGAAGCCCTGCCTCTCGCGTCAGGCGTCCCAGTCAAGCGCCACACCAGCTCCGGGCTCACCAACCTCCCGCCTCCTGCTGGAGTATGAGATGCACCTACGGAACACCCTAGCAAAGGGTATGGACGCCGAGAGTTACAGTCTTCACACATTCGAAGCTCTGCTAAGCCAGAGTATGGAGGACTTGGGTGAGATTCACTTTTTAATAATCCCATGAAACCTACACGAGTAGAAACTTGATTCGCTTACAGAGGATTAGGCGACGTATCCTAGATATTTAAAAAAAGACTACACTTATAAAACACATCTGAAAAAGTAAACACTTGATTAACTGAACATCTTGTTCAGTGAAATAACAAGTACAATGTAAGAGTGGTCACAAATTGACAGATTTTAGCAGGTGCACCAAGTCCGTGACAATCGGCTCGTTTTCTAGATTGCTCTAGCCTTCTCGATTTTTGGAGATGCTGAGTAATTTTCATTGAAGAAGTCAAATCAGGCGTCACCTTTTTTGAACCAGATCCGACAAACCTAATGGTATGTGATCAATAAGGCTTATAGTTACTGTTGTGTAGCACATTTCACAGGACTGGACGTATAATATTCTAAGCTTCATATAATTATCAAACATGTTCCTTCAGGAGTAGCATTATCACTATTTGGACCTCATTTGGACCGGTAGCTGGTAGCCTCACCAGATGTAACGCATCTGCCATATCATAATTAGGTTATTTTTTGTTTTTTGTAACCGTGGTAAAATTATCTAAATTTTTTGGTTCTAGAACGGATAGGATATCTACTCTCACTACAAGAACCTATGAATAACTCGCCTGGTATGTTAAACTAAGTTTTAATAACTTACATAGATGTTGTCACCTTTATATTGTTATTTTTGTATTACATCATAGTGTTTTATGCGCAGAATACAACGACAACATGCCACCTTCGAACCAACGAAGCCCTTACCCATCACGAAGACGTAAGTATATTTTAATATGGATACCAATTATGTCTATTATTAAGAGAAAAATATAGCTAGTTTGTTTCACGTATTCCTCTTTCATGGGCTTTGTACCCATAGGGTGTAAATATGCCTTCCACTGTTATAAATCTGAAGGTGCGTACGGATTGCGCGTACCCTGGTGCGCGTACCCTGGTACGCGTATCCGGAACGCCTAGTCCATACATAACATGGACTGATCCATACATACATGGACTAGGCGTTCCGGATACGCGTAAACTGAGTACGCGTACCAGGGTACGCACCTTGACAGTAGGTACACTGTATCACATCAACCGTTATACTCGTAGGTAGACAGTTGATATGCTCACAGCATGTGTATATTCGTTGCTGATACCTATAAGTAACGAAATGGGAAAATTCTTTGAATTAAAAAATTGGAATACAAAAAACACAATAAAGACAGAAGTTTATTTGTTTGTTCGATTACGAATGTAGCGGATAGACTAAGGTTGAGTTGCAATCCCCTAACTTTGACCGTAACTTTTAGCCTAGGAGCAGACCACCGACTTTTAGTTGGCCAATAGTTGAGCCCAATTTTAATTTGTATGAAGAATCGGCCGATGTCAAATCGGTGTAATGTGCGCACTTCCATACATGCCCATACTGATTAACTGACCGACTAAACTATCGGCCGACAAAAAATCGGTGGTCTGCGCCTAGGCTAACGATAACCGGTGTATTTTGTATGGAGTTTGACAGATTTTTGACGTTTGTCAAAGTTAAAGTAAGATCGTGCAACCCAACCTAACTGTAGGGACGTGGCCAGTATTTTTATGAACTTCACTATGAGTCTTGAGAACTATGAGGTTCACCAAAAAGTTGTAGCAACCAGCACACCTATACACGTCCAGCTGATATAATGATGATGATGATGATAAAGAAAAGATGATATTCTTCAACCAGGACCAGCATCCCAGTGCTCTGGTGGAGGCAGCCGGTCGTCTACGCTGCCGCTGCCGCATCGATTGGGCGTGGAGAGGCAGCACAGCGCTCGTTCTGATCGGGACGGATACTACAGGTAATTTGAACTACAAGAACTCCTTTTATGTTCATCTGATCAATTTCGTTACGGGTCCAATGACAGTTAACTTTCCCCGGGACAAACTTGACCTTCACTGGTTGGGTTTTTATTGGCGGTCAAGCTGTAGATCCTGGTTACACAGGAGTTGCAGCGGTAGGAACGAGAGGTGAGAATAGTCCCGTACAGGTAAATTTACTTAATCACAAAATAATTTTAGCGGATACAACTGTTTGATACATTTTGTTTGTATTATTGAGCTTCTCTTCTATGACTCGTCATATCTGCGACCGAGATGGATGTATTATGATCACCTATTACAGTTTGCCTCTTAGTTCTGCATCTATTAGGTAATGCCGTCTCTATTGGGGGCGATATATTTTAGATCTTGTGGGCTTTGGATGTGCTCACAGTATGAGGATGTGTATTGGGGTTTTGTCCAAAGAAACATGAATTTCATCAGGCATAACTGCTGGTGTTATTCCCACCTCAAGTTCCCACCACTGCAACTTCTGTGTAGTCACTAGCCTAGGATCTACAGCTTGATCGGTAATAAAAATCCAACCAGTGAATGTCAAGATCGGCCCGGGTGAAAGTTGGACTGTCATTGGACCCGCAACGAAATTAATCAGAAGAATTTAGGAGGAGTTCGAAGTTAATTTTCGACTTCCATCCATTGGTACGCGGATGACAGGTGACAAACAAAGGTTTAGTAACCTATTAATAAGAAAAGATATGCACCACGAATAATAAAAATCAATTATGGGAACCTATCTTTTGAGCTATTAGCTACCTGCCAATAATACTTTTTACAAATTCGCTTAAAAGCACGGAATTTTTTTCTTGTCGCGACAAGATCGGTATAATAATTGCAGAAACAAAAATGTAGGTGTTGTATTGAATAAGGATTATGTCACGTTCATGTTTCTAAACTGAACAAACAATTTAATAAACATAAGGGCAAAAAAATCAGGCCCTGTTTGTATTTCAACTATTACAGCTAAGGCTAGAATCTGTGGGCAGTTTAATTTTATCAATAATCAAAAAATATTGTATTAGGAGTTACAACATAAAGTTTTCAAGTAGGTACAAATTACACCGGTCAACAAAAAAAAATTTTTTTTGCGCATGGATTTTACTTATTATATTCTGACTAGCTGACCCGGCGAACTTTATTCCGCCTTAATGGCAATAAATAAGCAGACTTTTTTTTTAATTTCGAACGGGATAAAAAGTATCCTATGTCTTTCTCCTGGCTCTAAACTACCTCCCTGACAATTTTCAGCTAAATCGGTTCAGCCGTTCTTGAGTTATAAGTGGAGTAACTAACACGACTTTCTTTTATATATATAGATTATATAAGCAAATTTATATAAAAAAGTGCGATTACAAATCGAAAATATTTGCTTTTTAAAGAGTTATAGCGATTTGAATTTTCCATCTTCATAGTAGAATGTCTCTAAAGATGCACGTCACATTCTCATTGGGATATATATTTATAGATAATTATGGAAGCTTATTCACAAGAACAAGGGTCACACTTTCATTAAAATATAGTGGGATTTGAGAGACGACGTTACCAAGGCCAGTAAACTGAAAGCATGATAGGGTTAGATTTTTATGAGAAAAATCTTCTATGGAACATGACAGGAAATTAGAACTTTTCATTTTTAATAAATATTTGGACTCTATTTTAAAGGACATTGTCAGAAACCGCCTAAAAAACCGCCAAAAAACATTAACCCATCATAATTATTTTCTATTTTTTTTAATACATTAAGCACCCTTTCGTTCTAATGGACACTTAAGCATTGAAAAATTAAATAAATAAGTCTTTTAACGTTTATTCTATAATACTATTACAACTTCCGGACGTTTTGGTGCGTGGCATGGTCTAAAACCTATCAAGTTCCATAATTTTTGCCGATAAAATCTGTACGAGGCATTACCGTACTTTATTGCTGGGAGTCCATGTATAGTGATGTTCCTGCGGCCATCATAGACAATAAAATATCGATTTTGAAAATAAAATAAATCGATTAAACTGCTTTGAAGACTAGATTTGCGTTAAAAGCTAAAAAGATATTGACANAGGAGTATGACGAATAATTGTACCAAGTTTCGTTAAAATCCGTCGAGTAGTTTTTGTTTCTATAAGGAACATACAGACGGACAGACAGACAGACAGACAAAAATTTTACTGATTGCATTTTTGGCATCAGTATCGATCACTAATCACCCCCTGATAGTTATTTTGAAAATATAGTTCATGTACAGAATTGACCTCTCTACAGATTTATTAAAAGTATAGATTTAATTTTGGTACATCTCGATATGTATTGTCCCAAATCCTTGCTTAATTTTATACCGGGCCCAGAAAAGACATTTCGTCAGAAATTAAAACAAGGAAAATTAACCTTTCTTTCATTGTTAAAATCTCGCAATGAATGTAAAAAGGTCAATCTCAAATCACAAAGAGAAGAAAGCCTTAACAAAACCCCATTGTACTTTTATATACTCTTTGAATCTGAATGTTCAAAGAGCTTTCGATCCAATATCGTTGTCTATCTGAAATGACTTTAGTTAAAGTTCTTTTAATGAAATCACATCAATGTTGATTCCAATCTAAACTAAAATGGAAATATTTACTCGTAGTGAATGAGTTGACTCCAACTGGAGTCTTTGAAGGTTTCCTAAAAGCTGTAGGTAAATGTGAAAAAAATCTCAAGAAAAATGCAGATTACAGTCTCAAGATAATTCATAGACATATTTGTATGTAAAGCATCATTTTCTAACCGATTTATTTGTTTCAGTGACCGCAACGAACTAATGCGAGAGCGTGAGCGGGACCGGGAACGCGAACGTGGCTATTTGAGTGACCACAATACCAGGTTTGTATTTATAAATAAATAAATCAATTAATTTAGTTCCTTTTATCAAAAGACATGACGATTACTTGATATCATCTTTGTTACATCGATTCAAAAAGAATACAGATAGAAAGTACCTATTTAATTGTCTCAAAATATGTGACGATTACATGATAGCACAGTGTACAACAGTGAGACAAAATGGTCTCAATTATTGCAGGAGACCAACAAATCTTGTTATTCTGCTATTATAGCCAAAATACTATTACTTAGGCTGAGTTGCACCATCTTTCTTTAGCTTTGACAAACGTCAAAAATCTGTCAAATTCCATACAAAAAGCACCTGCTATTGTTACGGTTAAAACAAGGTGGTGCAACTCAGCCTTATTATTTTGCACTTTAAATTAAAATTAAATTGGCTAGTGAATAGGAATTTTCATAGTTAAATTGTTCCAGGGATCGCGTCAGAGACCGTGATCAAGGATACTTGAGCGACCACCAGTCAAGGTATGTTAAGTACATACCGTTATTTTTAATACTGATTCCAAGTCAACCACAGACCACTGTTGGAAATCGTATATCTTGATTCCAGCGCACATGTAATGGCGCTATATTTTAGGTACTATATTTTCATTATTATTTTATTGATTTCCAAAAGCAGAGGGAATAATTGCGGTCTGCAAAAAATATTTTATCTATCAAAAAAAGGATGAATGATTTTGTAGGGTAAGGGTGGAACCTAATTACTTAATTGACAAATTAATTTTAGTATAAACATTATGAGAGTAATATGAAATCATATTAACTCGGCGTTCATTGAAATTGGGTCCAGTTAAATAAGGTAAAATTGGCTTTATGAGAATTTTCCGCTCATGAAAACGGGAAGAGTTTGTATGAAGAAGCTCATCTCAAAACATGGGATTTTTTTTAAAATTTGCGTAGGATATGGACACGTCGCTATACACGTCATCAACATTCCAGCATTATTATAGATGGTCTAACTTGGCGCCACTGTGCAAATAAAAGCCTAGTGAAATTCTAGGGCTCCAACGAAGTTTTACCATTTTCATCTTGATGGCTTTCATTATTTGCTACGATTTACACAATAAATCTCACACTGTAACTAGTTTCTGATGAAGGTCATAGTATTACCACGCGTATCTTTAACCGAATGTAACATTCAGGTTTTTAAAAGAAAAGCATAAGATTTTCTTAAAAAGGCAATTACGAATCGGCAATTGTTCTACTAGTAGCTTGTTTTTATTGTTTAAAAAATAATGAATGAATTGGCCGCAATTAACAAATAAGAAGGTGGGACTTTAAGCAACTATATTTTTTCAAGTTATTTAAAAAAAAAAGTTTGAGATGTGACTCTCAATGCTACATTTTTTCAAATTCAAATTCAAACATTTATTGCATAGAATAGGTATTTTACATATGAGGTCTTATAATATAATTTACACAGTGCTTACTATTCTGCTAACATTTTTAGCATGCAAAATGGTCATTAAAAAAGTCATTAATGTTGTAGATACAGCAGTCTATCAGCCAATTTTTGAGATTTCGTATCATTGCATTAGTTGACCCTGTCTTAAATATCTCTGGGATTTTATTATAAATTTTTATGCACATACTGTAGCAGCTTTTTTTGTATAATTACAATTTGGTGCACAAAACAGGGATACACCCATAACATACAAAACGTTCAAAGCAGGTTACACAGTATAACTGTTGCAGCTCCTATAACAAGTGCACACCACGTGCAAATCGAGTTAATCCGCGTGAAATTCAGTTTGACACAGATCGTCGTAAATTAGAGCCTATATGTTATTCTGGGTTATAAACAATAATACTGTAAAGTTTCATCAAAATCCGTTCAGTAGTTTTTGCGTGAAAGAGTAACAAACATCCAGACATCCAAACTTTCGCATTTATAATATTAAGTAGGAAAGTAGGATATATAATTTTAATAACTTAGTAAGTGCGAGTCATCTTAAACTTGAGATCAAAATTTGGGATTGCTAAGTGTAGGCACGTGACTAAGTTTTATTTTGTAGGCACTCGTGTGGAGCTGTATTGTATAATATTAAGTCCTAAGTGTCCTACAATCATAAATATTCCTAGGTATTCTTATATTAAAGAGCCTTTTTGGAATGACTTACCATAATTTAGACTGTTTATTAAACCTACACTTTATAATATCTACACTTGATATCAGGCGTGTTTGAGTATTTTATAAATGAATTCTTTACTACTGGAAAAGTCTCTAATACATTGAAAATGTTTATACGTATATGCTATTTTATTTGAATTAAATTAATATCAAATTCTCTTGAAAAAAGAATTTACTTACATGCTAACATTTCATTACATATTTAAATTTTTTGGACTCCAACTTATTATACTGTAATACATAATATCATAATATTCCTACATATTTTTTATGTAATAGCAATAAATATTCTACTCGTAGGTAGATGAAACAAATATTCGTAATAACTTTAATACAAACTCAAGATCAAAACATTCTAACTAAAATATAGGTATTTTAATGTTAATCAAATTCTTTGCTAGCGGGTCACATTTATAAGTAATAATAATAATTTAATGGGAAAAATGTGATCCCGGGAGGACAATGTTTGACCGGAACGAATTAAGGAGCCTACGCGGAATTCCGATCCCAAAACTTTTAAATGGTCGAAGTTTTATGAAGACCCATTTAGTAGTTATAACAAACAATGTGAAATCAATATGGAATTCATAATTCCATTTTGGATAAACATTCTGGAATTTGCATTTACAGTTAGTTTCAATAACGGAATACTTACCAAAGTAATATACGCTCGCTCACATATTGAATCATTTTGGACCTTTACGAAACCGTTCCATCTTTTTCAGCCTTTAAAATTCAGCGATGGAATATTTCCAGGCAAAGAGAGCCAATTTCGTTCCAATATGTCTACAATCAACAGTGCATCCTTATGCTACTCCGCCCTACTTTGAACAAGACTGCAATTTAAATCTTTCTTAGAACTTCAGCTCTCCGTAGCCTTTATGTACTTTGAACGGTCAGTTTGTATACTACTGTATACTAGCACGATGTTATTATTAATAGGACATAATCTTACTTCCACTAATTCTGAGTTTCTCTCTACGGGAACAACGTTGAATTTTTAATCACGCTGGCTTAATGATCTCGAGTTTAATCTTCCACTTCGCAGATAATCTAATAAGGATAATATCCAAGCACGTATATATTTATAGCCAGAAGCTAAAATTCGGGCTTTACGAGTAGCAACAATGGATTCCGTAACGAAAAACAATTTTGTGCGATGGCTTTGTTTATACCTATAGCTATTGTACAAATCCGTGTAGGTACTTATCTAAATCGTGTTGAATAAGATGAACACGAAACACTTTGTTTATACTTTACTAGCGGCCGCCCGCGACTTCGTACGCGTGAATCCCGTTTTTCCCGCTAATTCCCGTTCCCGTGGGAATTTCGGGAATTCCTTTCTTAGTGCACCTCTACGGTACCTAAGCTACGTCCCTTCCAAATTTCAAGTGCCTACGTTTAGCCGTTTAGGTTGTGCGTTGATCTGTCAGTCAGTCAGTCAGTTTCTCCTTTTATATATTTAGATACGAGTTTAACTGCAATAATGACAAAATACACTACAGTTTATAAGATACTACTGTTCTATAAAGTAGGTAGGTACCTGCATAAAGTTAACATAGGTACTTCCACCCATTTTTGTTCTAACGCCCGTATTCATAAACGATGCTTGCTTAAGTGAAGCCCCAAATTTGCGTTGAATAGCGTTGAATAGAGCTCTGTGATTGGTTTATGTGTCACCCTGTGCGTCCACGAGCACTGTGAGGCCTCATAGTAATGTTATATGAATATGGGCGTAAGACTTCCACGCCTATATGAACACAATGGTCTAGGTTGCTTTACCTCTAAAAGGTTTCTATCCAAGTGTTATCGTAACGTCTGAGTGTGCTAATGCTTATGAGACTAGCGTTAAATCTTCAGGTCAGTCAAACAAATCATTTTGTATGAACATTTCCAGTTTGGTTAAGCAGGACCTTGCAGGCTTGAATCAAATAATCAGACAATCAGGTTGTCCAAGAAAATAAATTATGTTTTACACTGTGAAATAATGAAACCGTTGCGTTCAAGTAACACCTACTTAAAAATAAAACAGAATTCATTATGAAGCTTAGAGACAGAGGCTACAAACATTGCTTCTAAACCATTAATACCTAATTCTTGTTTGCAATGTAAATTACTCTGTTTGTGATCCTCGTTGTTCTTATAAAATTGTCTACTTAGTATGTGTAGGCGGATTAGAATGCGAGAGCAAAGATCGATCTTTAGTATTGAACAAACAGCACAACAGAATCTGCTAAGCCCTTAATGCTCTTTGTAGCAAACTTTTATTTTATTTCCTTCGTCGTCTTATCCATTTATTGTCTTTCGTTTCGTTTAGGACTTTTTCCTCTCCTGTATTTTCTTGTGATTTAATTTCTAAAGGTCTCGAAGGAGTTTTAGATTTCCCACTGGAGTTGCTTGGCTTCCTTCCTCAGCTCACAGGTACAAGTACAATTAATCACTTTCAAACAGAATCCATAAACATTCAAATTGTTCTTTTATTTCTCCTCGGCAGAAGGTTTGCTCGGCGGTGAGAATTAATAATTCAATATTCCAAAATTGTAAACAAAATGGATTCTTGCTTTACTGTTTTTGTAGGTATGTGCATTTAAAAGAAACTAGATAGTGCCTACATAATAATATCAAACTGATTTACCTTTAAATTAAATTCAGATTCAGTATAGGACTCTCGTAAGTTTCTCAAATCATAAGCTAAGTACATTTTCGTACTTTCAATGTTTTTACATAGAGTCCAAACGCAAGTGAAAAGAGTTTATTTTTCCTCCGTAAATGTATACAAATATAGATATTCAGTGAACATTCACCCACTACTTTGTTTACGTGCGGATATCCCGAGTAACCTCATTACCTTTCCTAGGGCATGTCCACATTGGTTTTCTAAAAATAGATTTTTGAAATATTAAGGTAATAATATGACATTCTATCTACCAAACTACTACCATGAAAAAAATAATAATGACAGGATAGACAAGTGAGTGATCTTGAATCCTCATTAGTTTCTCAAATGCTGTCATTCTCAAAACTACGAATTCTCTTCAGAAATGCAAGATCATCATTATTATTTAACTTCGCCATTCGTAACTTGTTGAAAATCGAACAAAGCATGTGCTCGGTGTCCCAGTTGGTAGAAAACATTTTATCGGCAAATGACACTGCAATCGTCTACAAAAGTTCTGACACGAGTCGCCTTTCGCCCTGGTATTGACCGTTACGACTACTTTGTGTGTGCAGTGTCAAGCGCCATTTTATTTTCAAACCGTGATGTTAGTAGTGTCTCTTTAGTGAAACCACATGCTTGGCAGCGTTTTCAGACGCCAGCAAAAGTTCGCTTTGCAAAGTAATATTATAAGGTGGTCAATATTTAAGTTATAACAAGGTAAAATCAAAATAAATAGTATAAGTATTACAGAGTTAGTCATAGACCAAACTAGAAGATAATTTATTAAAACCTTATATGATAAAAAGGTTTTTATAAATTCTCTCTAACTTATTCTCATGCAAGGAAATCTAATTGGCTGTGCTTTAGCTACTTTATATTATAGTAAAAATAGTTTCCTATATAGGTGGTTGCTGTTGTGGACAAGGCTTTACAGGCTTAGCGCAGTCTTGCAGACCGTAGTTAGCATATTATCGTAATAGTTTTCTTTTATGCCTCCCAAGAAAATGGAACGGATAAACGTAATCCGGGATATCCTCGATAATAATACGTATTGGCGTATTAGCACACCTTCTTATCGATTTAGGGCGCTTGAAGTCCACCATCGAGTTTTGAAGGGTTCTATCCTCATAATAATTTGAGCATTACAGACAAAAAGGCAGGAATATATGCAAACGACTATCAGTGTTATAAAAGGGTTGGTTATATTCATAAGACCGTGCAAATATTTGGACGAGGATCGCATAAATTGAAATTGAAATATAAAAACCTAGGTAATCAAATTACCTAATACCCGAACGGTTTCGTATTTTTTAATTAAGGTGACAATATTTTGTTTGAAGAGTATGACTTTATCATGTGACATAATATCGTCCTACTAATCACGGCACAATTATTGAAACGTACCTAATTAATACAAATGATAATGGCCTCTTGTTTCAATTCTAATCACTTGTCGATATAATTAATTCCTAGGTATTAGCAACTGACGGTCAGATAAGCTATGGTTTGTACAATAATAATTTCATTAATATGAAACATACTCAGAGGGAGTATGATAACTGTGATATAACTGTTAACTTGACGTGTAAAAGGTCAATCTCCAAAAATAAATAAAGTAGAAATAAATATCCTTGGACATTTTACACTGTGCTTCTAGTCCCAAACTAAGCAAAGCTTGTACTATGGGTACCAGACAACGGATAAAAACATACTTAAATACTTTTTTTTTGTAAATACATACTTATTATACATAGAAAACACCCAGTCCAATACAAACAATTATTTCATGCACACAAATGTTTAACTTTGTACTGTGCGGGAATCGAACCCACTACCTCCGGAATAGTAGTCGTTTCGAACCGCTACACCAAACGACAATATAGACCAAAAGACCGCAAAGATGTTATGTTATAATAAAAGTCAAGGATCGACTAAATAAAATAGGTTACGATCCCCAACTTTCGAGACCGAATGGGAAGGAGGAAGTTTTTCTAAGTCAACCCTGGTTATATTGATTTTCTATTCAGTTTTTTTCGTGGCGTCGTATCTGAATACCCATGGGCCTAATACCCGGGACAAAATTAGCTAATCGAGTAGCAAGTTATTCTGAGAATATCCTTGAAAGAAGGGTATACAAACCATTTCCAGGCCATCTGCTAAATGGACTTGCGGAAATGAGATATCTTCTCTTAAATGCGGCAACACAGTTTCTGCATTTAGATAGTGACGATGAAATATGTTAAACATGATGTTGGATGAATCTGGCTAGCGTAAGTCACAGTTGAGTAGACCTTTTTTCTCTCGAAAGTGTATAAATAACCATGTTTCATTGTAACTATTTTTGAAATACATTAAATGAACCATAATGACGGAATAAGCACGCCCCAGTAATATTTTTACTTTATTAATATTACTAGCGTTTCAATTATTGAAAGTACACTCGGAATTAAATTAAAACCGTGCCTCCAAGCTATAGAGCCAGTAACGTGACGCGCAATGACACCCGACGGGCTTCGATAAAGGATAATACAATGCTTTTAGTCCGAGGCTCACTCGCATTGATTAAATAAGCGCAGACAGCAGCAGACTGGAGAATCGAACATTCATTGTTTATTTCACACTGTAGTTGCAGTTCAATACTAATTAAAGGTGATGATTGCAAAACTGATTTCCTTGGCTACATTATCAAAAAGGATTAAAGGGAAGTTCTGTAAAAATTAAGTCGCCAAACCTCGCAAGATTATAAAAACTTAGTTCCACGAGATCATCAATGCTAGAAATATTGAACACCTTCTTTCTATTAGGTACCTAGGTAAGTTTTTTTATGTTTTCAATATGTTGCATTAGCATAGGTACCTATCGATATTACCATACCTTTGATCAATCGGAATTAAATTCATTTATTGTCGTTTGGTCCACCCTGATGTATGAAAAAGTGGGTCGCATACCCTGTTGGGTACCCCTAAACTTGTAAAACTTCAAGTTGCTTAGTGTGAGGTGATAGATTAGTCGTGAACTGTGAACATGTGAAGTGGGTGAAGGTTAAAGAATATTTCCCTAAAAAACACAGAGGCCCGGGCATATTCACGAATTATTTATAAGGCAAACAACGTATGGAAAAATTTCCAGTAAGTTGATATTTTCGTAACTAAAGTCTAAGATTCTTTTGAATTTTTGGTATCCTGAATAGACCCAACGTTATGTAGTTCGATTCTGAGGAACAAGGCTTAAAACATACGTATATTATGTGGATGTGTGGTTAGTTTGGATTTGCAATCTTCACTTCATTTGCATGTTGGTTGTTCGAGGTATACTCGTACATAGTGTTAAAATAATAGATCCAAGCCCGCTGTGAATAATCCGACGCGAAACGACGACGCTGCTCTCGACTCGAGTACCACGGATGCGAGACATTGATTGGATGGCTTTTTATTATCGTATCGATTACACGAAACATCGATGGAAATAGAGCGGCACAAGACGAGTAATTTATATCAATAACGTTAAAATCTTCATTAATCACTCGCTTTCTGCTTAATAAATCATTCACGAAATTACATAAAGTACTCAAAGGTTTTGGGGGAGAGAAACGCAAATGGTGTGGCTTCCTAATACATATGATCTATACATATTAATGATGGTAAGCATACTGCGATTCAATAAACATAGACATAGCGGAGTTTCAAGTTCTACTCGTATGTTCGGTGATTTTCGAATGCAACAAATTTTTTGCGCTCGCAGACTTCACTTAATGCATAAGGCATTAGTATTCCATTTATGATAGCTAATTTTAAATATTTCTGCTTTTAGTTTGCTAATAATTCATATTTGATTTTAAAATGAATATTTTTGCTTTAACTTACTCCTAGGATTTATTCGTAATATTTGCATCGGTTTTTTTTGATAAAACAAACCTATCCATCTCTACGAAATAGTGTTCGCACAGAATGTTCACTTAGTTTTCTTTGCATTCATAATAATCAAAATGTTCATCACAGTAAAAATATTCCACGATACTGGATACTAAAAGGTTATGATGCAACTTTCGGAGTAGGCGACGAGAAGATAATGGGTTTTACTTTAGGCTTCATATTACCTTTTGTTCGGTATGATGTGGGATGTTATTTTGATGAACATTATTAATTATTCGGCTAGATTTTAGTACTAATAGCATCATTATAACTATCGATACTTAGCTTTAGATCATGTTTAAACTGTTATTGAGCGTAATTTCGTATTTGCACGTCCTTGAGTATTATGAATCAGTATACAAGTTATATTGGTATTGACAAAAATACGAAAAAGCTCTCGGCAAACATTAATCATAAAATATCATACAAACTGTTGACCCACTAAAGCTAATACAAAGATTGAAGATAGGACTGGTATTCAAGAGACCGTAAACAATTGTACAGATCTACTGAGGTGAGGAAAAATGAAGATAAAAAAAACTATTACAGGTCCTACCTAACTACATTTTGTTAGAAGGAAGTGTGTTTATTTGTGATAGTGATTTATAAAAGTAGTTTATGTACAGGTGTAAGGTCCGCTATATGGTCTGTTCTCTCTAAGATTTTTTTGAAACTAATCCATAATCATAATTAATGCGTCTTCATAAGTGTTTTATTGTCGACGGATGTTGCCTTACGATATCTCGCCATCGACCTCTCGACTACTACCTGAACAGAAAAAAAGAAGAGATGGTGCCTTAGCCACTTACTATACGATAATTATTTTTGCGCAGTTTCGTGAGCGCTTCCCGATGCGCGTCGTGCATCGGCGAATCTGCGCGTGCGGCGTGGTACCGCCACTCTGATGGCTGGCGCGGCGCCCCCGCCCCCGGCCCGCGGCGCTCACCCTGGGACTCCCTGCCCAGCCTGCGGCATGAGGGCAGCTTGAACGACTCTGGCTACCGGAGTAACAGAGCTGACAGTTTTGAACAAAGGTAAGTAAAGCGTTAACCACACCAAAGCGTGCAGATCGCCATCGCAGGCGCCATGAAAGGCCAATGACAGGTCGCCGGAACCATGACAGTTCTCGCGACCTGTCATTTCCCTGTGATCGCGCCATGATCGCGCCGGCGATGGCGACCTGCACGCGTTGGTGTGGTTGAAGCATAAAATAATAAGTTATAGTATATTTGAAGTGTCGAGATATTTCACAGCACGTTAATGCTACTAGCAATGGTTGTGTTGCTCAGGATAATCAAGTAAGCTGGCACGACGATATAAGTCTTCGATTTTTTTTTAGATAATACTTGAAGAAAAATAGTTACATCATGCTAAATGGGATATGTTGTGAAGGCCTATTTTCAACGATACCTACTTATGCTGGTGATAATAAAGTTGTTATAAGCTTTGAGCCTCTCACGTTTAATCACGCGGCTGACAGTACAAATAAAATATTTCATTCAACTGTTTTTCGAACAAAGGACATGTCAATTACCAAGGCTTTTTGCAATTTCTTTGAGGAGGCGAGAGGAAATTTCCTATCATTCGATCTTGAAACTTTTACCAAAACACTCTTGTCTGTTTTGGAGCGTTCCGTTAAAATAATAATAAACTCCATATTCATAACGTAGAGATTTACAATCATGCATACAATGTATTTACCTCTATGCTGCCACGTTGGTGCTCCTGGGACGAACAGACCGGCCATTCCAGGAATCGCTATGAATAAATCTGGTCGAAATAATCGTGCTGACAGTTTTAAATAATGGCTTTGTCAATATCATATTCTTAATCTGAAAATGGTATGGTATATAAAATGGTAAATCGTATGTTACGTTAAAAGCATTTCATAATAATGTACATTTTGTTGGCACGTGAAGCAATTCTTTGTAATTAGGTAATAAACTGAATTCACTCTCAACTAAAACCTATTTTAGGTAACTACACTTTTATTCTGAAAAAGAACTTTGCAAGGAAATATAGCAGAATGTTCACTAAGGCTGAGTTGCACCACCTAACTTTAACCGTTACTATAACGATAACCGGTGTGTTATGTATGGAGTTTGACACATTTTTGACGTTTGCCAAAGTTAAAATGAGATGATGCAACCCAGCCTAAGTAAATAAAATTATGTACCACCTAATAGCGTGTGTTTATTACATGCCTATAAGTATTTACCTCGCTACTCACCCATAAATACTTCAATCGGAGTGATTGATCACTGTTTACGTGTCATCGAACTTAATGAATCATCGTGAAAATTCGTTCCGTTAGCGAGGATAGTATTTTTCTTTTTTTTTTATAAACTACTATCGTGCTCTCAATTTGTTTTTCGATACGACAGCCAAAAATATTTTTCGATAAAAGGTAGGCATTTTTATGTAACATGTCTTTAACCTTTCACNCCTTTCTGTAACCTTTTTCTGTCTCGTGAAACCTAAGTGATCATTCCATTAACAATGCTGTAAGAAAAAGTACAAATTGTCATTTATTGTATACGAAACAGCGCTTAAAACTCGATTCAATTTCAATTATAGCTTCTGTCTCGTGATTGCTCTAAATATTGAAATTCAACCAATCTTTTTCCAAGATTTTATTCCGTTTGTTCCTGAACTTTTTCTTTTTAAAATATACAATTGTTTGTCTTTTGTAATCGATTTAACTTCAGAGAATATTGTGCGGTACTGGAAATAGAAGTTCTTGTGTAACACAACAACATACCCATTTCGTTTTTAATAACTCGCAGTACATTGGTTTCGAACAGTAGATATAGTTCTAAAAGCCAATTACAAAGTTTGATTAAAGGTCCCGCACCGTATAGAAAGTTAACAAGTGTCAGTTGATTGCGCAGTGTGATAAATCATATGGAATTCGTCAACTGAAAACCCTTCTTTTTGTCTAGGTCTGACTCGAATTCAAAGCTTTCAATAACTACGGTCCCCAGCACTGGAGAGAAAAGATCTATTTGAAGGTCGACGCTCTTCGACACAAGCGTTTATTCTAGAATTTTGGAGTAAAACTAAAATAGAAACCTTTTCATGTCTAACGAAATCAGTGTTATCTTACGTTGAATATTCATTCAAATTGTTTTCACTTTTATCTTGATGATGTCTGCCAGAAGAGTAACATTAGGTTTTTGTAAATTTTACCAACGTAGATAACAATAAAAACATAGCGTTACTAATATGTCTATTTGTATAAGAAATTATAATAATACAGTTGAATAATTTGTTGATCAGAGAAATCCACATTGTAGCAAAATTTGACTTTGTCTAGGTATATCTATAAAGCTCACCAACTCACTCACACACTCATCACGAAATTTCAGAAACTACAAGTGCTAGGAGTCTCAAATTTTGCATGGGGGTTCCTTACAAATGGATACTAATATTTTAAAATGTATTGGCATCTAAGTACCTAGTCTATGTCATTATTATTTAGTAGTTTAGTTCAAATGACGAATAAAGTGTTTTCATTGAAACATTGCCTTGTTCTAGGGGCGTGTTCGACCGGCAAGACAGCGTTCGTTCAGAGTACACGAGCGACCGTGAGTCCGGCAGATACGGGATCGTGCAGCAGGCGTCCATCGACAGCACCGACTCCAGGATCTGCTACCTGACCTCCAGTGAGGTAAGGAATACTCAATGCTATGTTAACCTTCTCAATCCAGACCTGAAAGTATCTTTATGGCAAAGGGTAATAGTAATTAGTGGCACGTGCCATCCAATACATGGTTCATTATTCTCAGGTGAAAATTACTGTCACCTTTGAAACGTTTTACATTTGTTTGAGGTCAAAAACTATGAAAAATTTAAACTTACTGTTTTTGATAATTACTTTTAGAATACGCCTGATTAGCAAAAAGTATCAGAAAAGTTTTGAATTCTTTGTATGGTCTCTAATATCTTCAATGTTAGTAGTTTTATTTCTCTTAACTACGAATACTATACCTAAGGAACGGCAAAATTTTTGTATTGCTTCATTACAAAAAGTATTTTCAGCATTAAGAAATAAGTGCCGAGTATAAAAAAAACGTTACAGTTACTAGTCATTTGCTCGGAATAGTGTTCTGAGTCCAATTGCCAGCCCGAATCTCCCAGCCTAATAGTCCGCGTCGTGGGAAACTACAATATGGTTAAGGTTCCCGTTTCACTTTACGCACATTTCAGGCTAAAGGTTTTTCTTAGGGTTACTTTCAGGTGGGAAAAAGCGGGACTTTCTTAAGAGGGAAACCTTCCTCTTAAATATACGTCTCCTAATCCAAAACGAATCAATTTAAAGACGTTTTCAAGATATATATCACTGCATGTTTATGATTTTGTATGTTTAAAATGATCAACTTAACTCAAAAGATATTTTTTCTCATAAACTAACGCCCGTATTCACAAACACTACTATGAGGTCTCACAGTGCGCGTGGACGCATAGGGTGACACGTGAACCAATCACAGAGCTGTATTTAATGCTGTGCATTCAATTTGCTGCTTCACTTAAGCAAGCATCGTTTGTGAATACGGGCGTAAGTATTAAAGAAAATATTTGCGCCTGTGTTGCTCAATAAACAAAGTCTCATTGTATCATTTATTAGCTACAGGAAAATATACAGGACTCTTGAGACTTGAATATACTTACACTTGATCGCGTTCTATTATCTCCTCTTAAATTCCAACAGTTTCATCTGGAAGGAAAAAAAGCAAGCTTTTAACTACAAACGAAGGCGAAGATTAGGGATTCACCAATGTAAACTCTTATGTTTTTGTTTCGCTACTATAAAAACAAAGTGTAACGAGAATAGTAGTAAAAGTGGGAAACGTGTCTGTTCACAGTTCTCTCGAGAGTAAAGTCAAAGTCAAAATTTGTATAGACTATTTAAATAGTACTTACAAATCGTCAAATATTTTGCTCTTAAGGAGCCTCTACATATCTCGTAATCTTTTTACCCTACCAGCGCTTCAAGACCAACATTTGGCAAGTGCTGAGAAGACGCGCTGCAACAAACTCAGACACCACTGTCTGCCAGTTCATATAACTTCTTCTTCTTATCGGGTCGACAACAAACCTACACAGTGTCAGCCCAAAACTCCGCTACAAGAGTGGCGTTGTCAGCAGCATTAATTAAATCCTCCTGCGTTCAGTTGCTCTGGCACATGTGCTTCATCGACTGGGGAATAAAACCGCACCTGCACTCCATGTTTGAGCCATCCAAGAATCCCCACCTGACCAGATTGTCCTTACTACCGCCAACCTGCGTCCGAAGTCTATTTAAAGACTTCCAGCTCATGTCCAGGTGGAGGACTCTCAGACATATGGACAAAAGGCAGCAATATAACTTAACTACTCTACATGACTTGCTCATTTCGATCGTGAAACTTATAAGAACTGTGTACAGTCGACAGCACATCAGACTATACATTTTTGTTGCAAAATAACACCTGTTCCAAGGACATAAGATGCCACAGTGTACGAATATACCTGCGTCTATACTTATAATAGTGTGTGTGAGTTTTCCTCCCTAGCAAAAATGATTCAATACAGCGATCACGTTTAAGAAGTAATACAACTTATTGTATCGATGGCTGCGATGGGTTGTTACTCACTTACTCAATTTGTGCCCTTTCCCCTTTAACTGTGTACTTATCTTGAAGCAAAAGTAGAAAAGTATTTCTTTCAAGTATTAGGTATGTTACCTTTCAAACAACGCGGTTGTTACCAAAATATGAAACTTTTGAAAATGGTTTTTATGAAACAGCACACTAATTCAAACGAGAGGTATCAACACTATCAACCATTTTCCATTTTGAAGTATATTACAATTTTCACTACCGTGTTAAGGGATATATTAAAAACAGGCGCTGTCATATACCCGCAAAAAGTACAAATAGGGTATTATGTCCATTTCTACGTTGAAACCGTCCTTTTGTAGCGAAGGTCGGTCTTTTGGCACAACCGAGCGCCGCGGGTGGTAATATTATTTTCTTCATACAATGCTCCTAGTAAAATTATGAATATCAATTTTGGGCCACTGGAAATACACTTCCTTTATACAATGTGAGCTGTTCTTAAAACTATTTTATGTTTTTTTTGTGTATAGTATGAAATAACAGCCACACGATGCGCTGAAAGCTTTTTCTTCGCCAATAGGTTTTTTGACACCAATCAATCGTTATAATCTTGATTTGATCTTTAACTGAATCTTTAGATGATAGACGAAAAAACGATGGCTCCCCCAACATCGACAATTTCAAAGTACCCTAATATAAAATATCCGATTAAGCTAAAATTCTAATTTCCCTCCCTCGCCGCTTTGACACAGCACTGAGGTACTTGTTTTTCTAGCGCCAATCTAATCAGAATTCTAATTGAGAACCTAGTTGAGGTCCCACAAGCTTCCGATAATACCTGACTTACAAAACCCATCGTGCCGCAGCTGCAGGGAAATTGCAGTTTCGGGTTAACTCTCTCACACTGCCGTTCGCCTGCATACACTCGAACTATGCGAACACAGGATTAATTAATTTGAAGTGTCGAGTTACGCTGTGAAATGATTTATTAGTACTAGCGATGCACCCATTGTAGAGCCAAGAACTACGAGACTATTGGTTTTCTGAATAAAGCCACCCTTTTGTTGGAACGACATAACAGAGCCAATGGAATCTCCACACGTCTTGGCCGATGCGATTTAAAACGTACTCGCACACCTTTTTTGAAGATACGTGACACGTGTGCTAACGTTCCGATAAAGCTGTGCTGATGTTTGTGCTTATAGAACGCTTACATTATACTCGCAAAGTCGGAAATTGAGTCTGTTAGGTGTTTTTGTTAAAATGAGTCGCACGTATAAGGAAAGTTAAAACATTGCTTATTTCAATAAGGCATTTTTTGAAGTCAAAGATTTTTACATTTACATGGAAGATATTTATGTTTTGGCACAACTTATGAGTTAAAATATTTTAATAAAACAAAAAAAAATGTTTTCCCAAACTTTGAACAGATGGGCGGTAAAATTCGTAGTCCAGTTGACTGTCGTAATGGGTATACCAATTCGTATATGTTCCTAGAAGGTACATGAGATAAACAACTGATCAAATAGGTACCAACTTTTATATCATGTTCAAGATTACTAAGAAAACTAGAACGCTCTACCGATAAAATGCTCTAATGCTCCATCTATTAAAATTTCTATTTTTATTCAAGCTCTATCCTTTTAACTGTGTTTCGTAGCAAATCATTTTCTAATAATTACGAACTGAAATACTATTAATTAAATATTTTTAAAGAATTTAAAATTGTAATTTGAATAGATAGGTAACAAAGCAAACCATTAGCAAACATTTTAAATAAACAAATCTTAACACTGTCTAGACTCTCTACCTACGTACTTTTCCATAATTAGCTAATTGGCTAGCAAGAGTTAGCTATATCACTACATTTTTTAGCTATTGATTTTTTCTTAGAAATGGCTTTCTATGTATATTTTAGGAGAACTACACTCAGCGGCACAGAATTTGGCCCAAGCCTAAACAACCAGATATGAGGCCAAATAGGCGTTGTATACCTAAGTTTCGTGTGACGTGTTAACAGAACATTTGTTTTTGTTAATTTAAGAGGCTAGATTTATAAAAAAATGCGTCTATTTAACTTTTTTGACTCTAGAAACGCATTTCGTTGCTGGAGCGTAAAGAGTACGGGTAAGTTTAAATTCGATATTAAATGTTGTAAGGGTTTGGCATTTCGTTTTTTGTTTTTAAATTAATCTTAGGGTTATTCTCGTTTCCATAATTTGAGAATAATGCTCATTACTCCAGCTCAAGTTGCTCAAATAGTGTTGCTTAGAAGTCAAGGGCGTATGCAACGGGAGATGGCTGAAACTTTCAATTCATGGCGGACAAACTTAATACGTTGAGTGCGAAACCAGGTCTATAGACCTTGTGTACGTCTCGCTTACCGTGCGGCTAAGAAAATTATAGTCTTTCTTGTCGTGCGAAAGGCATAACTTCAATTGGGTCCGGTGTAGGAAAGTGATGAATATATGTCTATGATGTATTCTTAAAATAGAATCCAATGATGTACCTACCTTAATACCAGGTTTTTAGACCTGGTACCGCACGGAAGTAATAAAATGTCTTCACAATGCGAAACCAGGTCGAAGCACCTTGTACCCTGCGCACCTGGTACCGCACCCCACGCTAGCTTCGTGCAGCCAGTGTTGCCTCGCATTCGTAAGAAACGCACATGTCGACATGGCGTCAAGAGAAACAAACAAAATCAAAACTGCAAATTGGTTATAATTTAATTTGCTACACGATTGATAATTTAAATAATGTTTTTCGTGACAAACATTTGAAGTTGTAACTAAATGTTATTAAATAATATGTTTTCTTTAAATATAGCTTATTTAAGTATTTATGCACGTATGTCTTATTNAACTTCTCCGATACCTACGCGAAGTACTACTTACGCTTTCTAGAGAACATGCAAATTGGACGTTAGACTAATGGAGTAAACTCTTTATGAAAACTGTCTGTTTGCGTAGTAACTCTTCTCCGCACCTTCTCTATACACTTCCACGGCCGTCTGGAGCTCTTAAGGTGACTCTGCAATTACGAACCATAGAACTTTACTCCATTAGCC